ACTGTCCTGGTTTCACAGGCATACAACAATGAAGTCAGCATAAGGGCTCTGTAGACCTTCAGTTTGGTAGTCACTCTAATACCTCTTCTCTCCCACACTTTCCTTCGGAGCTTCCCAAACACTGAGCGAGCTCTGGCAATTCGTGCATCAACCTCATTATCAATGTGTACATCCATGGAAAGTACAATACCAAGGTAAGAGAACTTATCCACAGCATTCAAAACTTCTCCATTTGCTGTAACCAATGGTTCCACGTACGGATAACACATAGCTAGTAAGTATCCAAAGTTGGAGTCAAAATGAAGTCTCTCCTGACTCTTGAAGACTGTGTACTTTGCACAGGGCCTGGCACATAGTAGGCGCTTAATAAATGTTTATTGATTGATCTAGTCCAAAGTGAAGCACGGAAAGGTTTCTTGTCTATGGTCAGAGTGTAATGACAAGGGCACTAGATTCAGGGTCAGAGTTCTGGGATTTGATTCCCAACTACCATTTGCTACCCGGGTGACTTTGGGCAAGTCATATAAGCTCTTTAGGCCTCAGATTTTTCATTTATAAAATGAGGAGCTTGGTCTAAGTGATCTCTATGGTTCTTTCCATCTCTATGTCTATGATCCGACTCACTCAGGCTAGACCCCATGGACAGTCATTTCAAAGATGCTCCTACTAGGTGTATAACCCAAAGAGATTTAAAAAAGGGGGGGGGCGAAGGACCTATTTGTAAAAAAATATTTATCGTAGCTCTTTTTGTGGTAGCAAAGAATCAGAAATTGAGAGGCTGTCCATCAACTGGGGAATGGCTGAACAAGTAGATTCCATGATTATAATGGAATATTACTGTGCTATAAGAAATGATGGATAGAATGATTTCAGAAAAACCTGGAAAGACTTACATGAACTGACAAAAAGTGAAGTGAGCAGAACCAAGAGAACATAATACACAGTAACAGCAATACTCTATTATGAACAACTGTGAGTGACTTACTCTCAGCAATACAATGATCCAAGACAATTCCAAAGGACTCATGAAGAAAATTGCTATGTACCTCCAAGAGAAAGAACTGATGGAGTCTGAATGCAGATCGAAACACACTATTTTTCACTTTCAGTATTTTTTTGTATTTTTTCCCTAATACGGTAATATGTTTTGCATAATTGAACATGTGTAACCTATATCAATTTGGGGAGGGGAGGGAGGGAGAGAGGAAATTTGGAACTCAAAATTTAAAAAAAATGAATACTAAAAATTGTCTTTATATGTAACTGAGGAAAATATTACTTAAAAATAGATGCTCCTATTAGCAACTTAGACTTATCACTCACTAGCTCCCATTTAATAACTAGCTCACATTATATATATTACCTCACTTTATTTTTGCAACTCCAAGAGGTAGAATAAGTTGGTAATAGTTGGCAAATATTATTACCATCCTCATTTTATAGGTGTGGGAACTGAGGCTCAGAGACATTAAGTGACTTGGCCAACGTCACACAGATAGTGACACATGTAACTACTTATCTGAAGGCTTCTTCTCTCTCTCCTCTGCAGGATTCTCAACTAGATCATGCCCTCTAACCATCTGTGTCTCTCAGGGTTCTGTCTTGGGTCTTCTTCTCTTCTCCCTCTATACTACCTCACTTGGTAATCTCATCAGCTCCCATGGATTTAATTACCATCTCTTTCCTGATGATTCTCAAATCTACCTTTCCTGCCTTAATCTCTCTGCTGCCCTCCAATCTCACATCTCCAACTGCCTTTCAGACTTCTCAAATTAGATGTCCAGTAGACAGTTAATAGGGCAGCTAGGCGGTGCAGTGGATAGAGCCCTGGGCCTGAATTCAAGAAGACTCAACTTTCTGAGTTCAAATCTGACCTTAGACACTTACTAGCTTTGTGACCCTGGACAGGTCACTTAACCCTGTTTGCCTCAGTTTCCTCATCTGTAAAATGAGATGGAGAAGGAAATGGCAAACCATTCCCAAGTATCCTTGCCAAGAAAACCCCAAATGGGGCCATGAAGATTCGGACACGACTGAAGAACAACTCAGCAACAAAAAGACATCTTAAATTCAACACATCCAAATCTGAATTTGTTATCTTTTCACCTAAAATCTCCCCACTCCCAGCTTCCCTAATACTATAGAGGGCAAAACTGTGCCAGTCGTGCCGTGCACTCTCCTCCTAACAGGAGCAGGCTGCCAAGGTCATACTTACCAGTCTTCGGAGCCCACCTGGATAAACATAGAGACGAGCCGATCGGGAGGTGCAAACACTCGAACTTTATTCAGAGGCCATCACAGCAAGGCCAAGCAGGAAAGCAAGAGCAAGAGAGAGCGAGCTTCGACCCCTACCGCCCCCTATATACCTTCCTAGCCCCTCCTCCTCAGCCCGCCTACCAGTGAATGATTGTAGGATCAGATACCGGAAGGGGATGTCTGGGGTTAGCTCTGCACCAAGGGAGAGGATGTGACACAGGAGGCTAGGCCCGGATACCGGAAGGAGACGTCTGGGGTTAGCGCTGCACCTAGGGAGAGGACTAGACAAAGGGAGCTCGTTCTCTGCCGTCCCACTCCCACGTGGCACAGCCCCCTGCCTCAGGAGCATATGCTCCGGCTACTTCCCCTATCCTGTTCCTACCCCAGTTCACCACAACTCCACATGGCCCAGCCCCCTGCCTCGGGAGCGTGAGCTCCCGTTACTTCCTAATATCCAGTTCCTGCCCCATCTTGCCACAACTCTCACTTGGCAGTAGCCAACATCAGACAATCCCTCACCATTCTTCTAGTCCCTCAGCTCACAACCGAGAAACAATCCTGGATTCCTCAGTATCTCTCACCCCTTCCCATATCTAATATGTTGCCAAAACCTATCAATTTAACCTTTGCACCATCTTTCAAATATGCCCCTTTCTCTCTGACCTGCCATCCCTCTAATACAGATCCTTATCATATTATAAATTGATTATTGCAATCTCCTGCTGGTGGACCTGCCTGCCTCAAGGCTCTCCCCACTCCAATCAATCCTCCATTCAGCCATTAAAGTGATTTTCCTAAAGTACAGATCCAACCATGTCACCCCCTTACCCAATCAATTCCCACGGCTAACTCTTACGGCTCCCTATTGACTCCAACATCAAATACAAAACCTTCTATGTGGAATTCAAAGCCCTTCAGAACCTAGCTCCCTCCTACTTTTCTAGTCTTCTTATGCTTTACCCCCTCCCACTTATTCTTTGATCCAATGATACTGGACTCCTGGTTATTCCACAAACAAGACACTCCATCTCTCAGCTCTGGACATTTCTCTGGTTGTCCCTCATGCCTGGAATGCTCTCCCTCCTCATCAATGCCTATTGACCTCCCTAGCTTCCTTTAAGTACCAACTAAAATCCTGTCTTTTACAATAAGCCTTTTATAATCTCTTCCCTCTGTTAATTATTCCCTATTTATCCTGTATATAGTTTGCTTTGTCTATATTTGTTCGCATGTTGTCTTCTCTATTAGATTGTGAGTTCCTTGAGGGTAGGGACAGTTTTCTGTTTGTTTGTTTTTTGTTTTTTTTGTTTTTGTATTCCCCAGCCCTTAGCACAGTGCCTGCAACATGGTATTTTTTAATAAATGTTTATTTATTGATTGATAAATATCAGCTATTATTATCAACTATTACATATCTCTATCTCAAAATGTGCTAGTTCAGTTATCCTGTCAAAAAAAGAATGATGAAATTTGTCTGACATCAGCCTCCCTTGAACAAAGTCCTTATGTTTTTAGATAACATTCTGGTAAAGGATGTTTGTAATACATCTTAAATTTGTGTATTTGTTGAATAGCAACCTTATTAGCAGAGGTACTGAAGTTGTGATTTCACTAGTATACAGAATTCTCAGGTGATCAACCTCCCTCTACTTTTACAGGTTGGTACCCTCTCTGCAATAGATAGTCTTAGACAATCGCTTTTGGCACTGAAGGTTAAAGGACCTTGCACAAGGGCAGCACTTGGCCCTAGGTCTTCCTGGCCTTAAGACTGTCCTTCCATCCAATATATCTCAACCTTATAATAAAGTTATTGTTGCTTATTTCAGGAACTTTTGCTTTATGTAGAGCAATGAATTGGTAACAATTTTTCAAATCTATTTAGCAAGTAGCAATTAACCTGATCTATGGATAGACTTCAGGGAGTTGATGACTTGGGAAGGAGGAAAAATTACCTCTTTATTTTCAATCATCTCTATCTGAAATTTAACAAAAACATTATTCTGAGAAGGGGTCCACAGGCTTGACTAGGCTGCCAAAGGCGCCTATGAGACAAAAAAGTTGAGATCCCCTGTCTAAAAGAATTGCCCAGAACAAGGAGGTTAAGTAATTTGCCCATAGACACACAGCCAGAATGTGTTCGGGGCAGCACTTGAACTCAGGGCTCCTTAGCTTGAAGGCCAGTTACACTGTCTTTCCTATTTATAGAAAACTCCGGGGGGAAAAAAAGACAGGGGTACATCCGAAAGGGGTGCTGAAACGTATTATTAATTTCTCTTTAAGAGTATAATTAAAAGCAAGGGTAAGGAGAAATGACTCCGCAAAGACTGGCTGTTTACGTACTACAAGTCCCAGCATACAAGGGGACGGGGAAAAAAAGACTACACTTCCCAGAATCCACCGCGCATCGCACTTGGCCTCCGCGTCTTCCTGGGAATTGTAGTTCTCTAGGCAGTCACCTGCTCCCAGCGCCGTGGTTGCCTTCCCAGCTTGTGTAAAGTCGGGGCGATTCCTCTGATTTTCCGAAGGCTGTGAACTTGGTGGGGCCCGAGTGCGGCGAGTGCCTCCTTTCCCTCCTCGCATCAGGAAGGTGGCTTACTTGAGGCTAATTCGAGGAGATCCAAAAGGCTCCGCCCTTCCGTCCCACGATCAGCCGCGTCCCAGCGAAGCTACTTGTCCCTTGGCGCTGGCCGTAGCCGACGCCCATCCCTCTTTGTGTGATCGGAAAAGCCGAGGAACCGGTAAGAGCCGCTGGGGCCGTCAGCGTCGGGGCGGCGGCGGAGGCAGAAGACCCAGGTCCGGGCGAGTAGTGGTCAGTCACGCGGGCTTTCCCCATCCTGCCCCCGCGTCAGGTGGGTCGGCCTTTCCCTCCCGCAACCCACTCCCGCCCGAGCCCACGGGCTAGGCCAGAAGAGAGACTCCCGCTCGCCTGCACGGGGTCGCCGCTGTCAGGCGGGCCTGCCCTGCGTGGGCCCAGGGCGGCCCGGAGGAGACGGAGGGCACCGCCCATGCCCGGCCCGGGGACCTCCCTGCGAGAACGGGGCGCTCGGACCGCCGGGCTCCCGCAGCTGCATCCCAGGGACACTCGCGCCCTGCTTCCCCCTCCGGCCCCGGCTCCGACCCCGCCTCTTGTCCCGTAAAAACGCCCCGGGGGGCGCACCCGGCCCCGACGTGGCCCGGCCGCGCTTGGGCGGCGCCTGGCGCTCACCGGACTCCGGAGATTCCCCGGGGTCCGTCACGGAGCCACCATTGCCCGGGCTTCCCCGGGGAGGGCGCGGGGGCCAAGTTGTGCGTCTGCAACCAAAATAAAAACAGCTTCTAAGCAAACATGCACTGAGGGAGAGCTCCCTGAGGACGAGACCCTGGGTGAGGCGACATGGCGTTTTCTCCTCTGCATTTAGTACAACGTCTCGTATAGAATTTGGCAATTTGTTGGATGAATGTAGGCAGTGTAGGAGAGAGTTATTAATAGCAGATTCTATCTTAGAGGTTCATAACCTTGAGCCGTGTTTGCTTTTCAAAATATGGCTATTTTAATATATTTAGTTTCTTTTGTATTTTGCTTGATAACGTTTAAAAATATTATGAGAAGGGTTCCTTATTGTCAGACTGCCATAGGAATCTAAGAACCCCTGGAGCATATCTGTGTAGTAGGGAGCTAGAGCAAGAATGAAAACAGGAAAAATATTTCTCCTATGGTTTATATTTTTAGGTGTGTACAGGTGTTTCACCTTTTGTTTTCAATGCTTTTAAAGAGTATACTGAGGAAATACTTTCTATTATTTGGGGGAGTGGATGGTTGTCAGTTTGAAGTTCAGAGCCTTTCTTACCCATGGAGGGAAAGTACTGTCTCCTGAAATTTCCTTTGTGCTTTAATCGGTAGTTGAATTTTTTTTTCTTTCATAACTTGACATTTTGGTAATATAACAATAATGATAATTTTTTGCATGTGTTTCTTTAGAATTTTCCCAAATACTTTGAAATAGTTTTAAAGCCACAATTTTCAAAAACTTTAATACTGTTTTAAAGAGCACAGAGAAATTGGCTGTTATTTAATAAATTAGTGATTTGAAGTGGAATACAGTTTACTGTCTGTCAATATAAAATTATCTCAGCAAAGATCCCTAAATTTTCAATAAATATTCAGGTCTTTCTGAAACTAAGGATGATAAACTATGCCCATTTAATTATTTCTTGACGCCATGCTTGTACAGGACATTCATGTCTTAATACAACCCTTCAAATATTTATTAAACAATCTTTTTTTATGCAGTGCATTTTGCTAGGTCTTAGGCTACAAAGACAAACCACAACACTCCTCTCCCTTCAACCTCTCAGAAACCCCAGCTTCAAGTTCAGTTCATGTGCCATCTCCTACTGGAAGCCATTCTTCATCCTCTTAGCTGCTGGTATCTACTGCCTCAAATCCAATTATCAGATACCTACTTTTTGGTTTCTATATTACAGGTACTCAGCAGAATGTAAGTTACTGGAGGGAGAGGAGGACTTGCATTTCAGGGATGGAAGACAGCCTGGAAAAGACATGGAGTGGGGAAATGGAATATCACGTACAGGGAACTAGCAAGTAGGCTGATTTAGTTGGAATGGTAAGTATGTTAAGGGGAGTAATGTGAAATAAACCTGGAAATATCTGAAAGGTATTGTGAAGGACTTTAAGTGCCAAGCTAAGGAGTTTTGTGTTTCCCTAGAGGCAATAGGGAGCTACTGAAATTTCTTGAGTGGGGGAACAACACATTAAGACTTGTGCTTTAGGTAGATTATTTTGGTAACTGTGTGGAAGATAGATTGGAAAGGGGAGATACTGAAAGGCCTCAGTTAGGAGCCTCTTGCCATAGTCAGGTGAAAGATAATAAGATTCTAAAGAAGGGAAGTAGCCAAACGAATGAAAAGAAGGGGATGGATATAAGGGGTACTATGGAAGTAGAATTGAAATGACTTAGCTACTGATTGCATATGAGGGGTGAGGGACAGAGATGGAAATAAGGGTGATTAGGTAGATGGTGCCCCCAACAAAAATAGAGAAAGATTGAGTTTAGAAGGAATTAAGTTCAGCTTTGCATGTGTTACCTTTGAGATGTCTTTTTGCCCATCTCAGTTGATGTTTAATAAAGCAATTTATTTTTGTTTGCCCTTCTTGTAAAAGTAGTACTTGCTAGCAGTTTTTGCATTTTGAGGAATTTTTTGTTGCTGTTCAATTCAGTAATTAAATGAGTCCATCAGTCAATAAGTATTTATTATACCCTTCCTACATTCCAGGTACTTTGCTTAAGCCCTGGAGATATCAATAAAGCCAAAAGATGGTACCCTCTCTCAAGGAGCTTACAATCTAAATGGGGAAACAAGATACAAACAACTATGTACAAAGAAGATATATATACAAGATAAATTGTAGATAATCAGCAGAGGGAAGGCATTTACATTAAAGGGAATCAGGAAAGGCCCTCTTGTAGAAGGTGGGATTTTAGGTGGGACTTAAAGGATGGATGATGAGGAGAGGGAGAATTCAGGTACTAGGGACAGCCAGTGAAAATGCAGTGATGTCTTGTATAAGGGACGAAAAAGGTGGCCAGTGTCACTGGATCCCAGAGTAAATTGGTGAATAAGGTATAAGAAGTCTGGAAATGTGTGTGTCCGGGGAGGAGGACAGATTTTGATGGACTCTGGATACCAAACAAGATTTTATGTTTGATCCTTGAGGTAACTGGGAGCCAGTGGAGTTTATTGAATGGGAAGGAGGTAGTGGGACTTGGTAAGACCTGCATTTTAGGAAGATAAATTTGAAAGATGAGGGGAGATGGATTGGAGTGGGGAGAGACTTGAGATAGGGACACCAGAAGCCTGCTGCAGTAGTTCAGGCCTGAGGTGATAAGGGCTTCTGTTAGGGTATTGCATTGTCAGAGGAGAGAAGGAAGCCTCTAGAAGAGCTTTTGCAAAGGTAAAATCTATGGGACTTGGCCACAGATTGCGTATGGAGGGTAACAGACAGGGAGCAATTGAGAATGACACGTAGCTTGTAAGCCTGAGTGATTGGGAAGATGGTGGTCCCCTAGCTAGCAACAGGGAAGTGAGGAAGAGGGGAAGGTTTGTGGGAGTGTGTGTGGAGATTATGAATTCAGTTTTTGACATGTTAAGTTAAGGATGTCTTTGGAAAATCTAGTTTATGTATTCTGGGACATCCAGTTGTAGATGTCCAGTAGGCAGTTGGAGATGCAAGGCTGGAAGTCTGAAGAGGTTAGAGCTGGACAAGTAGATTTGAGGGTCTTTGGTACAGAGGTGATGGTGACCATCATGGGATGATCATCCCATGGGTGATGATGAGATGACCAAGTGAAATAATATAGAGGAAGAAAAGAAGAGCACCCAGGATAGCTCTGGGGAACAACAAAGGGTGACCCGGATGGAGATCCAGCAAAGGAGACTGAGGAGAGGTCAACCAAGACAAAATAATGTCATGGAAGCTTAGAGAGAAGAGAGTATCAAGGAGAAGAGGGTGACTGAGAGTGTCAGTTAATTTAAACAAATATTTATGAAGCACATTCTACGTGTAAGGTCCTCCACCAGTTATTGGGTGAGGATGGGGGGGAAGGGAGAAGAGACAGGAAAAATTACACAGTTGCTATTCCCAAGAAGCTTACTATCTATTAAGGAAGGTACAATTCAAGGTTGAAAGTGGTGAGGCAAAAAGTTTAAGGAGAAAGTGACCATTTTAAAATGGGGACATTGTGTAGTAGAAAAATGATGAGACTGGAGTTGAAAGACCTTGGTTTTAATAAAAACTGTACCACTTAATGTGTGTGTGATCTTAGACGAGTTACTTTGCCTTTCTGTGCCTTGGTTACCTCATCAGTAAAGTGAGGAGGCCAGATTAGATGACCTTCCCCCCCCCCCCCCAAGTGAGCAAGAATTTATTAAGTCCCCAGTATCTTCCAGGAACTGTGCTAAGAGCTAGGGATATTTTTAAAAAAAAAAAAAGGTAAAAAAATGAATGAATGAATAAATAAATAGAATTAGTCCCTGCTCTCTAAGAGCTCACGGTCTAATGGATTAAGCCTCAGGGGTGGGGAACCTTCGGCCTTGAGGCCACAGGTGGCCTTCTAGGTTCTTAGGTGCAGCCTTTCAATTGAGTCCAAGTTTTACAAAACAAATCCTTTGATTAAGGGAATTTGTTTTGTGAAGTTTGGATTCAGTCAAAGGGCTGCACTTAAGGACCTCTATGGCCACATGTGGCCTTGAGGCCACAGGTTCCCCACTCTTGGATTAAGGCAACACAAGCAATAATTTTCTAGGGCAGATTTCTCCTGCTGCTGCCTCAATCTCTCTATTTCAGTTCACCTCATCTGAAAGTACAGATAAAAGACACTTACATGCAGTGATCTGGTTAATGTCATAAAATTTAAAAGCAATTACCAGACCACCAGTTCCTTTTTTTATACTTTGCTTCCTCACAGTCTCTGGGTGCCCCCCAAACCACTCAAAAGCAGGGGTTTTGCCATTCTACACAGAATATACTCCTTTCTTTTCCATCCATTTTGTTCTATCCTAGAAGCTCACCTCACCTGCTACCGTTTCGGTAGATTCCTCTTATAGTTAAGGTGAGTAATATTCCATTTTCTAGGACTGTTCCCCCTTTTTAGTTTTTCTTCTCTAACTAACCGCCTCTCAGTGGTCTACCTTCTTCCCCCCCCCACCTTAATTATTCAACAGCTTAAAGGGTAGACACAATGCAAATTTTGTAAATCACTCTGGGGTGCTATAAATAATGCTTAATATAATATAAAATATAATAATATAAAATTAAATTTTATATTTGTAAATGCAAAACTTAAAAGCACAAAATAATTTACAAAGAGGAAGATACTAGCAAGTGGCAGGGTCAGGATAGTCTTCCTGGAAGAGCTGGCACTTGAGTTGAGCTTTGAAGGAAGCTTGGAATTATATGAGGTGGAAGTGAGGAAAGGGGAATAGAATGTCCTCTATGGGGTGGAGCACAAAGCCTAAAATGATTAGTTCCATTTTAGTTATGTTGAGTTCAGAATGTCCATAGGACATTGAGGTAAAGATGTCAAATAGATAGTTGAAATGGAACTGAAGAGCATGGGAAGGTCTTGGGCCTGGATATATAGATTTCTGAGTTACCTGTTTTAAGCATATAATTGAAGCCTTGGGAATGGACGAGATCACTCAAAGAGTGAAAAGAAGACCAAAGACAGAGTAGTAGAGCGCACACACACTCTTGGGGGGGAAACATCATGAGCCAGCAAAGGTGAACCAGAAAAGGGCATTGTCAGAGAAGCCAAGAGAGGAGAGAGTATTCAGAAGGAGTTACCATTTGTTATCATTTGACATTGTCAGCTGTGTCATTTGCTGCAGAAAGACCAAGAAGGATGAAGAGTAAGAAATAGCCATTTTATCTGATAACTAAGAGGTAATCTATGACCTTGGAGAGAGCAGTTTCGTTGGAATAGTGAAGAGTTAGGAGTAAGAGTAGAGTGAGTCAGTGGAGGGAGCAAATATAAATTGCTCTTTTTCAGAAGTTTATTTTTGCGGGTAAGAATATCCATAGGACTGTAACATGCAGGGTTGGCAGCATTGGAGGAGAGATCAAAGGACCAAGCTCTCAGAAGAGAAAAGAGAGGATAAGATCACAGGCAGAAGTAGAGTGGTTAGTATTGACAAAGAGATTCACCTCGCCTTCTGAGGCTGACCTGAAGGAGGAAGAGGTCAAGTGAAAGTTGAAGAGAGGTTTTGAGATGTGGAAGGTGGAAAATATACACAGATAAGTAGATAGCCAGAAATTTTAGGAGGGAGAGAGTACTACCAACTAAGGTTGTGGAGGAAGGAATTATGGAGGAGTTGGTACCCAAGTTAAGCTTTGAAAGAAGCTGGGAATTCCAAGAGGCAGTAATGAGGAAGGTGTACATTCCAGGTCCCGGTGATGATTAGAGCAAAATCATTTTGATTATGAAGATTTTGCACAAACAAATCTAATGCAGTTAAAATTTATAGGGAAATAGATAACTGGTAAAAAAAAATCTTTGCAGTTTTTTACTGCAAATAATTAAGAAAATGCAAATTAAAACAACTCTAAGGTTTCACTTCACACCATCAGATTGGCAAAAAGGAAAATCCAGATGTTGGAGGAATTCAGGAAAACAGACACACTGATACATTGTTGATGGAACTGTGATTTGGTCTAATTTGAAACCATGTCCCAAAAGTTGTTTAACTACCTATTGTGATAGGACTATTCTCCAAAAAAAGATTAAAGAAAGAGGAAAAGAGCCCATATGCACACAAGTATTTATAGGAGCTCTTTTTGTGGGAAACTAAAGGAGGGCCCTTCTATGGGGGAAGGGCTAAATAAATTGTGGTATATAAATACATTGGAATATGATGGTACTATAAGAAATTATAGAAACTGGGAAAGACCCATGATCAGATGCACAGTGAAGTGAGCAGAACTAGGAGCAGTTTACACAATGACAACATTACAAAAAACAACTTTGAAAGATTTTAGAAATCTGATTAATGCGAACGATAAACCATGAATTCAGAGAACTGAAGATGGATTACACCATTCACCTCCTGCCAAAGAAATGAGACATATATATTTAGACATGGTCAAAGTGAGAATTTGTTTTGTTAGACTATGCATAGTTATTTTGAAGATATTTGTTTTAGATTTTAATTGCAATTGTGTAGGCAGTATGAGAGATAAACACTTGTAAAAATAAACTTTTTTTTTTAAAAGCATGGAGATAGGAGATGAAATAGTGAGTTAGAAGGGAAGCATCTTTAGGTCACTTTGGCTGGAACATGCCTAAAGGGGATAACCCAGGTACTAGACCTGTGATTTCATTGGTATAGAGATCCTCGCCCCCACCCTGACTTTGCCTCTACCTCAAGAAAATCCCTCTTATCAACACAGTTCCGTGTCTTCTTGGCAATTTATAGTCTTAAGAGACCTACCGAGAGAACTAAGAGTATAAATGACATGACCAAATTCACATAGCCAGTGTGTGTTAGGAATAGGACTTTGACCCAGGTCTTCCTGGCTTTGAGACTGACTATCTATTATTCCATCCTGCTTTTCTACCCAAGGGTGGATAATGTAAAATAAGTCTAACAATGTAGCTGGAAGTCAGGCTGTGGAGAGCTAAAGAGTTGAGGATTTTCTGGTTTTAAAAAAACATGAAGTATACACTATTGTTTAAATAGAAATCATTTTATTTCTTGTTCATGTTTGTAATCTTTTCAACTCCCAACTCTTAAGAAATTACGAGACCTTTTGCTTTACTGATGGCATTTGTTTAAAGTGTATTTCTTTTATAAATCTAACTTTAGCAAAATTAAGTTATTGCCAGCATTCTGATTATTTTAAATAATTGTATTTTCATTAAGGTCACAACCATGTCAGACAAAAGTGAATTGAAGGCTGAATTGGAGCGAAAGAAGCAGCGGTTAGCTCAAATCAGAGAGGAGAAGAAGAGAAAGGAAGAAGAAAGAAAGAAAAAGGAAGTAAGCTTGATTATGTTTTAATTACATTAATCGGTTTTGAATAACCTGATTATTCATTCGGTTCATGATTTCATAGTATTTTAAACTGTAGTAGTTTTGTGAATCCAACTCTAGTTTCATGCCTTATCTCACTTTAAACAAGTCTTGAGTTCCTCAGTGGATGTGTCATTTCATTGATGTGGGTGCTCCATCCAGTATTAAAGGTGACAGTTCATCCATGCTTTTCAAATTCTTTCCTCTCTTCTCCAAAAGGATCTGCCTTGTGTGCTGAAGTCTCCTCTTTAGGTCTTTTAAACACTGTCTGAGAAACAGATGGTGAATGTATCACTTAGGCTTTCTACCTTTTTACTCTCACTTCCTGACTGGCCCACTTCCTTTTCCCATCTTGTATTCCTTGGAAGATCCTGTCTTTTATGCTGTTTACTGTGTACAAGTCATCATTGGTCATTTGCTATAGCCCATTTATACCCACCCTGCACATTTCCCTTGAACTGTGGGTTACCTATAATTTTTTCTTTGGAGATTTGGGTGTTCTGTAATTCACAGCCATAGTCACATAGTTATCAGATTATTGCTGTTAAAAAGATGAGGTTTTGTATCAGGTTTTTTCTGTGGGATTGTTGAAAATACTTTCCCAAGTACAAGTCAATGCAGTTCAACAAACATTTATTAAGGACCTACTCTGTGCACAGTGCTTGGGATACAAAGACAATAATGAAACAGGTCTTGCTGTCAAGGAGTTTACATTCTGCTGGGCTCCTCTCTTCCTTTTCTTTAATTCTGGGTCCAGCTTATAGTTTATCTGTAGTTCCTGTCTAAGATTAATGTACTGATGAACTAATTCAGTGGATTCTATCCAGTTGTATAGTCTGTACAAGAGGCATTCTTCATTTATCTGGTTTTCTTGTATTTATTCTTTTGAATAATCAGAAATCTAATCAAGGAGGTCCCAACAATGTATGATTTTCCTCTGATTAGTCAATTGGTATCTTTTCCTTTTTAAAATATATTGAAAATTGATCCCATAGTGCTTTCAACATTGCTTCCTCAAGCATAAATTATCTTTTGTGTATATGAGTGTATGTGTGTATGTTTTTTGGTATAATCCAGCTACTCTTCCCTGCTTTATTTTCTTTTTTCTTTTTTTTCAAAACAGAAATTTAATAGTATTGTGTTTTTTCCAATGTGAAGACAATTTTTAACATTCCTTTTTTATAAAATTTTGAGTTCCTAATTTTCTCCCTTCCTTTCCCTCTCCCTAAGATGGTAAGCAATTTGATATAGGTTATATGTGTGCAATCATGTAAAATATATTTCCGTATTAGTCATGTTGTGAAAGAGGAAACTGTTTGCAAAAAAAAAATACAGTTTGCAAAAGGAAAAAACCATGAAAAAAACAAAGTGAAATAGTATGCTTCAGTCTGCATTCAGACTCCATCAGTTCTTTCTCTGAACGTGGATAGCATTTTCCATCATGAGTCTTTTAGAATTGTTTTGGATTATTATGTTGCTGAGAAAGCTAAGTCAGCCATAGTTGACCATCATTCAATGTTGCTGTTACTGGTGTATAATGCCTGCTTCATTTTCTTAAGTATTATTTTCACTTCCCCAAATGCACATTAGGTACTGATGTGTTAAGAGCACTAATGTGGTAGTTCCACTATCCTAGTTGATGAAAATTAGTCATTATAGAAATAAAGGCAGATTTACCTCATTTTTCATCTGTTTGTTTTTCTCCCAATTTTCACCTATAAATTCTCTGTCCCAGGCCCTCTACTTCATTCTCTATATACTGTCCCTCCATGACCTCATCATCCCTTGTGTTTAATTATCATCGCTTTTCAGCTGACTCATAGATCTAGAAATCCAGCTCCAGTTTCTCCTCAGACCTTCAGTTCTGCACCACCATTTGCCTAATTGGACATTTCAAACTGAATGTTGCTGAGACATCTCAAACTCAGTATGTCCCAAACTGAAGTTATTATCTTTCTTTTCAAAACCACCTACCTTCCAAACTTCTGTTTCTATCAAAGATACCACTGTTCTTCCAGTTTCCCAGGTTTGTAAACTTGGTGTTATCCTCAGCTCCTCTCCCCACATATCTGATCAGTTTCCAATATTGTCATTTCTCCCTCCACAACATTTTTCACACCTAACCCCTTTTCTTTATACATACAGTTAAGACCTTAGTTCAGGCTTTCATCACTTCTCACTTAGATTATTGTAACAATCTCCTAATTGTTGTCTTTGCCTTAAGTCTCTCCCTACTTCTTTCCTCTCTTTTCTTCCTCTGCACTGCTGTCAAAGGGATTTTCCTTAAGCACAGACCATATCACTTACCTACTCTATCAATTCCAGTGGGATTCACTGTTGCCTTTAAGATAAAATATCAACTCCTCTTTTAGCTTTTAAAGCCATATATGACCTGACCCTAAACTGCCTTTCTGTCCTCAATGGACATTATTCTCCTCTCACTCTTTGACCTAACCACACCTGCCTTTTTCTGTTTCTCACAAACAACACTCCACTTCCTATATGTATGTCTTTGCACTGGCTGTTCCCTTCTTACCTCTGTCTCCTTGGATCCCTTTCTTTCTTCAAGATGCAGCTCAAGTACTACCTTTACATGAAGCTTTTCCTGATCCCCTCAACTGTATTGCCCTTCCTCTCAAACTAACTTGTATTTATTTATAAATATAAATAGTTCTTATTTATTTGTATTTCTTCTCTTTCCATTTATACTGTATATCCTTTTTTCTCTCTCCCAGTTAGAATATACCATTCTTACAAGTAAGGATTGATTCATTTATTGTATTTTTATACCTTGTGCCTGACACAGTGTCTGACACATAGCAGGCAGTTGATAAATGCTTGTTGATTGATTGATTGATTGATGATCTGGCATAGTTGGGTGTCAGGACAAACTTTCTTCAGATTCATTTTTTCTTCCATTGATCTTTGCTGTCTTATGAAGTACAAGTGCTCCATCACCCCCTGTTGTAGCATTTTGAAAATGAGTTTATATTCTAAAGGGGTGCTGGGACCCCAAGAATGCCAAGGCAGAGTTGCCTAGAATGAATTCACACACTCAAGCTTTCTCTTAGTCAAGTAGCAAAAAGTTTATTGTGATGCCAATAGAAGTGGCATCCTGCAAGCTAGTGAGGATGGTGCTGAGGCTTATATGGAAAAGGGACAAGGGAAAAGATGCCAAGGATTCTATTTAAGTAATCTAGGGGTCCAGGTGTCTTTGGGAACTGTGGATGGGAAAATACAGGGAGTCTGCAGAGGCAACTTTGTTGATACCAGACATTAAGGAAGTTGTCAGAGGCATGGACCTTGGAGATCTGGCACTAGGGAGAGTCTTTGGGCCAACCAGTGACAAAAATCCTCCGGCCAGGAGCCCCTGCGTCTGTTTTAACAAGAGAATATGTTCTTCAACAGGAGAAAATTTTCTCAAGGTCAGGGGCCTACTGAGAAATTGGGACACTTCCAGAGGCATGATCTTACATCTGGGGCCTGAGCACCCCATTAGTGTTGCGTTTGGTTTCCATGTCTTTCTACTTGGCAAGATGATTAAATGTTTGGGCAATTACTTTAAGATCATTTAAACATCTATAAAAATGATGGTACCCCACATCAATATCTTTTCCTTTATCCATTTTCCAGTAGCTTGTTTCAATAGATCAGATTGGAGCCTTTGTAGTTGTTATCTTTTCATCCTTATTCTTCTAGTTTGGTGTCAATTTTGACATTTTCTCTAGCAAATGGATAGTCTGCATACAGACAGTTGATTCAGAAATGGCTTTCATGTCAGCAAATAGTTATTTCCTATCTGTTAAGATATAATTACTTTCATTTTTTATAATATTCAGTGTTCACCATACCCAGGACTTTGCAACTTTCTTGGGCGAAAGAATCCATGATACACGTGCTTTTTCACAATCTAAAAGCCTTTGTTTCTTAGTCTTGAAATACACTTTTCAAGATTTTTTGTCCTCTTGTGCAGCTTCACATTGAAATCATGGAACATCATTGTGTATGTTTGTGTTGATTTGATTTAGAGAATCTTGTATTCTTCATAGAATTTCTCAGCAATAGATCTTGCTATGTAAACCCCATGGATTTTTTGCATGAGCTGTTCGTGAGCATCCAAAGGCAAGAGAACCAGCTACGCCATAAGATGATGTTTCTTGTTACTTTGGGGCACAGAGGTCCCCCACTTAAATTAAACATTTAAGTGTTTGTTATCTATACTAGACAATACTATACTAGATTCTGGAGATAAAAAGAAAATTGAAAAGTTCCTTTGCTCAGGAACTTAAATGTGGAAGGTAGGGGAAGGGGTTAAAACCAACTCTGTCAGTTCTTAATTTATTTCTTCAAGGAGAACCTAGGTGCCATACTTCTATTTAGCTGCAATTCCTTATGGTTTCGTTTATGATGAGAATGTCAGTTTGACTTGATTCACCTCCTTCGATAATATGCCAAATTATTGGCCATTAAATAAGGGATCACACAGAGTACTAATAGTTAAATTAATATTCATAGATTATTAAAAAAAAAAACTGTGTGGTTCTTAGCACCCTCTTCCCTCCTTCTCACTATCACTTCAGAAACAAAAGCAGAAGTAATCCACCTAGGACTAAGGATCCATTTGTATTGTTATCTGTTTCATGGGTTGCTGTGGCTGGAGAATTCATCACCTAATATCTAGGCTACTGGATTCTTAGTTTCGCCAGTTTTTGGAGAGTATGCAGACACAATCTCATGCTGAGACTATAATTGAAGCTTTTCCATCATGGTACAGAACCTGTCAGAGGCTGTATTCCACCTGCACAGTTTTCAAAGCCCATGGCACCTCCATGCCTTGGTAAAGTATTAGCGTAAGACTTTTGGGGTGATAACCTAACATAAAAAAATGAGTATTTAGCAGACTAAACTAGGGAATAATTATTCATTTTTCCAAACGGGTTCTTTCCAAAAGGAAAGGACTCAGTAGA